TCGCCGCTCCTACGCGGGAGACAAGGAAGGGGAAGGGCTCCAGCCCTGCCTCGTGCAGTACTGAGTTTGTCTGTGCCCTCTCTTCAAACGGACGAAGGAGTCGCAGAGTAACTCAGCTGTGTTTACCTAAACACCACATGGAACTCAATCAGTCAAGACCTGGTTTTGAAGGCCTGCCCATCCCCACAGCTGGTATGAGGAGCTGCTCAGCCATTTCCTAATTTTAAGTACAACTACCAGTCCTATTCTGGAAAATTACATATAAACACATGTAAGACACATGTGGTTGCCTTTTTTCTGTGGTTTATTGTGGTTCAGAGCACAAGTGTCAGGGTTACAAGGTCATTGCAGTGTGGGTGAGGTGAAGCAGCATTCGGCAGCATTAAGACAGGGACAGAATTTGTTCAGCCTTCTTGAAGAAATTCTGCCCTTCATCTACAATACAGACCAGAGCTAGTTAGTTCCTAGGTTGCCTGGAAGGGAAAAAAAAAAAAAAAAAAAGGAAAACAATAAATTAAGTAACAATAGCAGTACAGAAGTACAGATTCGGGAACAGCATGAAAATAAATTAGACATACAACTTCTTAAATATATATATATATATAACTTGCATTTCACTTGTAGTTAATTAAGTGAAGTCTGCACTTTTCCACTGCATACAAAAGTATGTCTGTGGGTGAGGCAGCACTGGAAGCGAGGACGCAGCAGAGAAGGGCATCAGCCCTGGGCCCTGCCAGCTCCTGTCCCAAAGGRAGTGTCACAGGAACATCATTGCTTTATGCTGTTCTGCAAAGCTGTTACACCAAGTCAGAAAGATCGGTGAGCACAATGACAGCATTTCCCTGAGAAACCAAAACCTGTTTAGAAGCAAGTCCATGGACCTGAGAGCCCAGTGCCAAACACAAGGCCAGGGGACACCAGAGCGAGCTGTGTGTCATGGACATGCCTCTGCAGGGGTGGCATAGGCAGAGAAGGTCACTACTGCAAGTCATCTCAGCCACCCACTCAAGGAAGGTATTTAAGATKAACTGAGGTGAAATTCTCAAGATTTACTGAATGTTCACAGAGTTCTCTGTCATTGTGAAGGCAGTGCAGTGTATCCAGTAGTACAGTTTAGGTTATACACACTTTCCAMAATTCATTGAATCTGCTAATTCCTCAGATGTGGAAAATGCTCATATCCTGCTCATAACTTATTTTCACAAATTGAAGTAACAATAACTACCAAGTATTTGCTCAGAATTTGTGTAGTGTTTGTTCACACCAGCAGCTTACTGCTGATGTGCTCTGCTGAAGACAGTAAAAAATTTTGGAGCAACTACAACACATCCAAAAGCACTTCTCAGTATTGCATTCCATGCCATGCCCTTTCTTTAAACCTCCAGATGGAGAGAATATTATGCAACATAAAAGCTTCATTTATGTATCTCATCTCTTGAAGATTAGGATCTTTCTAAAGAAAAATTACTGTGAAATCTTATATGGATGACTTTGGTATAGCTCAAGAATTCTAAAGAGCCACTAGTCAATCAAGTGTAAAAAGAGTAATTTATGAAAAAGGCAATTTACCAGATTAAAAAAGCTGGATACATTCTACATGTCTACCAACAACTTGTCTCTGATCTGTAAGTGTGCAGTTTTTGTATGATAATTTCTTGTCTGCAACCAAAAGTAGATCCAGAAGGAAGCTGTAACAAATCACCATTTTTATGTAGGGTAGGTATGCTTGCTATTTCCTTTTAACAAATGCAGAACGCCAATGTATTTAAAATGTCACTAACCACTGTGAGGACCTGAGAACCRCTGAGCATCTAAACCCAGTTCAGATCTAGGGGATATATATGTAAGATAATGCTTAAACAGCTGCTCTGAAAGTAGCAAATTTGTCTGCCAGAAATCTGAAAACAAGCACAACAAAGCAAATCAGGAACAAGAAATAGTAAGGTGTAACAAGGACGGAACTCTRGCTAGAAAGCACACACACTTTAGAAGCTGTCATCCACGGATTTCCCATTTATTCCTTAGGGTGCCCACCTGGATGTCTCAGGGTAGAGACTTGGTTTTGTCTTGGGTAAATAAAACCCTTCTTTCCTAAAGTTTGCTAATTTTCATACCAATTACGAGCTACTGCCAAACCACAGTAATCTGAAAGGCAGAAACTATTGCTAATGTAACAGCTAACAAGTATTTGTCAAATCCCTAAATTTGGGATTTGTTCCTCGGTGTTGAAGGATGCTGGACAAACAAGCAATGGTATTTKTGCTTTAGGTTATTTGGGTCATACCTTTCACATAATGCTGATTAAAAGCAACAACAAAATAGAACATGTTAACAGCTTAAGTCAGTAGACAATTCTGAATCAAATTGGAAATTGTGTCTCATATTACCTTTACAGGCATTACTCAGAAGTTACGTTGAAAGGGCATTTCATGATACTAAATGTCTGGGAAAACGGTTTCTTAGGAAACTGAAGGTCATCAAAATAATACACTTAAGATTTAAGCAATTACTACAGAAATAAAGGATTTTTCTGGAAAACTCTGAAGACCAGTCAAGGAATAGGCAAAGCCAGACAAACCCCTTGTGGTTCATCAYTAGTTAAGCTAAGCTTTACAGATGCAACTCAGCTGGCCACCTTTCCACAATAAACATATCAAAAGTAGAGTAGAAAAGCCAACTGTAAAAAAAAAAACTACATGGAATATTTCATACAAAATACTCCAAAATGCTTTTCATTATGTAACTTTTATTTGA